GCACTTTGGACAGGTGTCCGCTAGGGGGCTTCTGTTTTCCTTCGCGAGCAATTCGTTCCAATGAGTACACGACGATTCCAGCCATGTCTCGTGAACGAAAACCGGACCAATCAAGAGATTCGTGTTTCGTTAAAAGGTGTGAGCGTATCGAGATATATAATTCTCGATTTAGAGAAATATCTAGCTCGTCTCATGATGTTCGTCAACTAGTGTTGTGCTGGTGAAAATATTGACAAACTGATATCTGTTAGAAAAAAAAAAAAAAAAAAAACATTATCGCACTCTTTACTTTTTGTATTATAGATGTCGCCATTCAGCTAAAAAGCTAAGATAAAGGAAGCGAATATTTGAACTGCAACGATGCGACATACTTTTCTTAAATATCTCCGGGGAATATTTAACGAAAATCGCTTTCATGGGACGTTGACTGCACAAACCCCTTTCTATGACTATTTTTGTGCTTCCCGTATTTGTCCATTTTTTTTTAAAGGGATGCTCTTCATGCATCGTGTGTGTTTGTTTTGTTTCATAAAGAACCTTTTCAGACGTACAAATCCCTCCCCAAAGCAAAAAAAAAAAAAAAAAAAAAAAAGTTCGACACGCTAAGAATTGCTTTTCAATGCACTTCAGAGTGAAAAGAAAAATAAGGCGTAAAATGTATAACAGAATATAACTTTTTTTTTAAATACCATATTCTAGTGAAAACAAAAACGCGCCCAATCCCATGTTTGTCAAAGGCGACTCTTTGATACGGGCTGTCGCTTCTAACGCTTCGCGTTCTATCCTTACAAGACAAGCTTTCCGCTTGAAGCGAAGCTAAAGACTACGAAAAATTTCTTCACTTTTCCTCCCCCTTCACAATCTCTTTAAATATTATTTTAAGTGGAGTTATCGACCTCTGAAAGCAAAGCTTTACTTTCGGTTAGAAGCGGCGAACTATACTCTGTTCACTCCCCCAGATGGCAGTGCTGTCGAAGCTATGTGCTATGTGGACAAATCAACCGCCTCCCTTTCATCGCCTGGCTCTGCTTTCTGTACGTAGGATTAGGAGTGAGCGTGATCACGTGGCCAAAGATAAACATATGACTCGTCCAAACGAACGCATCGCTTCGACCGCTTTGACATCTTAGGTGCGAACCGGGTGTAACAAAGTTGAATAGAGGACGTTCTCTACGTTCTCGTTCAATGGACTCTGCCTCGACAGCTTCCCAATTTATGTTTTTGTTTTGTTTTGGTAGTTTGCTGATGAATTCGGATCTCTAATTCAGAATGGGTTACACCGAGTCTGAATCAGAGTAAGCACAATACGCGTTGGTTCTTGGATGCAAAGCCCATTTTCGAATTGAGTCTCGACTTCGAAACCGAATGTTGATCACACGTTCTGCATTGCAGTCAGCTTAGTATAAAGTAATACGGCCACTGACAGATGAGAGGGACTTTGATAGGGTATTTATGCTCGCCGAGAGTTCTATTTAAAAATGAGCTATCAGAGCCAACTACATAAAACACAATTTTGGCTCGAAATTCGTTTTCGTTCCGCCCGAAAACAGCCGGTCGAGAATTGACCGGTTTCAGTCGCGTTCACCCCTTGTCCACGGTCACGTGGTGCTGAAACTATGTGTACCTATTATATCCCGATTCGTGGGTCATCTAAGGCACGCATTCAATATTAAAAATAAAAAAGAATACGAGCCTTACTTTTGAGACCTCCAAAAAACTGTAAATGCGTGGATCGAAAAAAAAAATGTTGCCCATATTACAGGAAGTTCGTGTACACGTCATTCTCAATATGGCGACGTACCGCGGACCAACGTTATTAGATTAGCTCAGCTACGGAACTGTTCATAGACGCTGCTTACACGAGCACTACCCCCTCGCTTGACGCGTCGGACGGCTACTATGCTATCTGCAGTGTATTCATGGAATAAGCACGTCTTGAAGCGCAGCGTCTAGATGGCGTTCCACCGTACTATATGGAACACACTGTTTTAGAGCGCAGCTCTTAGGGGCCCGTTTCCAGCCTGAGCGGCGTCGCCGTCGCCGTTGGCGTCGCCGTCGGCGTCGCCGTCGGCGTAACCGCGCCCCTCCCTCTCCTCCTCCCCTCCTCCTCCTCCCCCTCCTCCTCCTCCTCCTCCCCCTCCTCCTCCTCCCCCTCTTCCTCCTCCCCCTCCTCCTCCTCCTCCCCTCATTGTGTAGTATGGTCCGGGCGGGTCACGTGACCTCGGGGGGAGGGGGTCACATGACCCGTTTCCAGCCTGTGCGGCGTCGGCGTCGGCGTCGCCCCTTCCCCTCCTCCTCCTCCCCCTCCGCTCCTCCTCCTCCCCCCTCCTCCCCCGCCAGGTCACGTGACCCCGGGGGGTGACTCCCCTCCCCCCGCCGGTCACGTGACGGCCCGCCCCAGTTCATGTGATCCCATCCCTTCGAGGTCACGTGACCCCCCCGGACCTCTGCCCTCCTCCTCCTCCCCCTCCTCCTCCTCCCCTCATTGCCTAGTATGGTCCGGGGGGTCACGTGACCTCGGGGGGAGGGGTAAAGGAGAGGGAGGGGGAGCAGGAGGGGAGGAGGACTAGCAGGCATGATCACGAGGGCGGAGGAGGAATATACCCTCCACTCCTCCTCAAGAGCTGCGCTCCAATTCGGCGTTACAGGAAGTTGTAAACGGCTTTCACTTTTAGAGCGCAGCTCTTAGGGGCCCGTTTCCGGCTTGAGCGGCGTCGCCGTCGGCGTCGGCGTCGCCGTCGCCGTCGCCGTCGCCGTCGCCGTCGCCGTCGGCGTAACCGCGCGGTGCATCATGGGAAATGTCCCATAATGCACCGCGCGAGCCCCCCACCAAGGTCACGTGACCTCGTGGGGGGTCACGTGACCCCCCGAAGTCACGTGACTCCCCTGAGGTCACGTGGCCCCCTCCTCGAGGTCACGTGACCCCCGCCGATGTCGCGTGACCCCCCGATGACGTCATCGTCACTGATGACGTCACCGGCATCCACATCGTCATCGTCATCATCACTGATGACGTCACCGGCATTCACATCGTCATCGTCATCATCACTGATGACGTCACCGGCCTCCACATCGTCATCGTCATCACTGATGACGTCACCGGCATCCGCATCGTCATCGTCATCATCACTGATGACGTCACCGGCATCCGCATCGTCATCGTCATCATCACTGATGACGTCACCGGCATCCACATCGTCATCGTCATCATCACTGATGACGTCACCGGCATCCACATCGTCATCGTCATCATCACTGATGACGTCACCGGCATCCGCATCGTCATCGTCATCATCACTGATGACGTCACCGGCATCCACATCGTCATCGTCATCATCACTGATGACGTCACCGGCATCCACATCGTCATCGTCATCATCACTGATGACGTCACCGGCATCCGCATCGTCATCGTCATCATCACTGATGACGTCACCGACATCCGCATTGTCATCGTCATCATCACTGATGACGTCATCAGTGACGTCACTGATGTCGTCACCGGCATCCGCATCGTCATCGTCATCATCACTGATGACGTCATCAGCGACGTCACTGATGACGTCACCGACATTCGCATCGTCATCGTCATCATCACTGGTGAAGTCATCAGTGACGTCACTAATGACGTCATTGGTACCCGCATCGTCATCGTCACTGATGACGTCATCAGTGACGTCAGTGATGACATCATCGGCATTGGGGGTCACGTGACCACCAAGGTAACGTGACCCCCCCCTGGTTAGTTTAACCCCCCCCTCAGTGCCCTTCCCTCCTCCTCCTCAAGAGCTGCGCTCTAATTCGGCGTTACAGGGAGTTGTAAGCGGCTTTCATTTTTTTTAAACAAAAATCTAGACGGCGCTTCAAACATGGAGGAGGACTAAAGTGACTGAAAAGGGGGGTGGGGGGTACCCCACTCCGCGGGAGTACCACAACTAAGGTAGTCTAGTAACGTCGCCAGGACGCTGTGATTGCGGTGCACGACAGACCAACATTGCGATGGACGGGGAGCCCGGTATTTTGAGACCGTCGTTCGTGGAACCGGACAATCGGTCTTGAAGCGCAGAATATCGCGGGGAAGGGCTATAAGTGCGAAACAATCGGACAACGAACGGTGCACGCAACTTCGCCGTCTGGTTTCACACGCCGGAGAAGCGGAGAAAAATAGACGCGATCGGGCGTAGCCGCGTGACTTCCGGCCATGAGCTTCCGTGCTCGTGTTTCGGCTTTGAACTCGAGCTGTTGAGTATTTCTTTTTTTTACTTTAAATAAATATACCTAACTCTGTAGCAAAATGTTCATTGGTTAGTCTCCGGACACCATATTAAATCGCCTAACAACAACAGCAAACAAGTTTTGGGAATCCTACTATATTTTTAAGAAACGCAGGGAGTGGCGAATTTCGAGCAGTTTATTACCGCTCCTCGGTCAGTGAGCTTGCTGAATTAGCCAATAAGAACGTGGAAGAAAGCATCACGAATCGAGAAGCACCAACGGAATAAGCCACGCGCTGCAGTTCTTAAGCTGTCCATTGCTATATACGGAGAGCAAGTGTTCCGAATGACTTCTTTGGCTCATCGGATTGCAAGGAAGAGCACCACAAGAATAGGGAGTCTCATTGCGTATAGGAGCAAACGCAAATTCTGCGCGTGTGCGTTGTCGGTGCGTGTTCAACACTGCGCATGCGCGTCGCCGCCATGCACTAATTTAGGGCCGCAGTTTGGGTTCCGCGCACGTGCAGTGTGTGGAACGCGCAACGGCAACACAAATGCACAGCCCTTGCGTTTGCTCGCATACGCAATGGTGAAACTCACTATTGATTTTTTTTTAGTATCGCGTAGCAATAGTCGGAATGGAGTGTTGTCGCAAAGTGACTGCCCGCTCCATAGCTCAGCGCGCCCGAGGCACCCCTTCCGGTATTTTACTTGGTTCCGTTAACGCTAAACTCAGTGTGCTGATAATTCCGCCGATTGTATACGCGTCTGCCTCCAGATACGAACCTGGTGGAGAAAGCGACCTTCAAGATCTTGAGGGTAGTTTCGCTTGATGGTGGCGTTGAAGTAGCTGTGCAGGTTAAGCAGAGTCTGCCCGACGGTCCGCCTCCGGTACGACGCCCCGTTGGATGGCAGCGTAGCCGAGCTCCAATTGGTGGAACAGGCGTACGAGTAGAAGTCGCCGCAGGGGTCCACTTGGAGGTCTCGGCGTGCGCTCACGAACTGATCGACCCAGAGGCAGTCCGGGTGCTGGCAGGACAACGAAACGGCCTGGACCAGGACCGTGCCCAGAGAGAACATCAGGGGAAAAGTTTGATGACAAAATCTCAGTAAAGGCCTTGAACGTGCCAGAAAGAGTTCCTGTCTCTTTGGTATATCCCCAATGTGCTCTAGGTGCACACAGAATTACAGGTCTTCTGCGACGTGATGACGTCACCCGACATTACGGTGGTACCGCGTTACGGTCTCACGTAGCTACGTGACGTGACGTCAGGTCTCGGGACTTCATCTCTCAGACGGCATGGTGTCACTAGTGTCACGCAAAGTAATACGCGTCGTGCACCTTCTTATGGTTCCCCTGCGGACGTCACTACCGGGATCTGCCTCGGCGTGACGTCACCAGCTACGATCTTATCTGCATACCATCAGTTGTGAAAGACAAGCTCGATGGTGCGTGTGAAAAGCGCAAACATTTGGAGTCATCGCATTCTCAAACTGACACCGTCAACGTTGACAGTTTGGCATTACTCCTGTTTCTACCGATGACAGCGAATTCCTTTTAAGACGTCATGGTGAGTTCTTGGCTTTCCAATCGTGAAAAGAGAAAGAGAATAAGCATTTTTTGTAAAGAAGACAGTGAGGTCAGACAGCGCTCTGTGCCGGCTTGCTACGCTGTGAAAGAAGATGAAATAAAAAAAAAGGAAAAAAAAAAAGAAATAGTATAGACAAAGATAGCAAAGTTAGTAGTACAAAAAAAGAAGACAAAGAGATAAAAAAACACACAAATGCGCACGCACACAATCGTGGAATGCCGACCATAGCGACGCTTTCATATTTTGTTTCAGCACAAGTGCTGATGCAGCCGAAGCTACGAGCTAACGGGTGAAACGAAGTAGCATCAAGAGCGCTAATCACTGAGCCTTTTTTGTTTATGATTGATTGAGCGAGAACAGAACACGCGCAGAAACGTAACGAACACCACGATGGCGCCCTTTTTGTGCTCTCTGATTGTCCCATCAACTCGTAGTGCCGGCCGCGTCGTCTGGTAGATGGAACGAGGTATAGACGTGTGCAAGTACGGTCTGTGGGCGCAGCCATCTCTCTGCTGGTGTGGGTAGATGGTCTCACAGTCCAGCAAGGTCGTGGGTACACCTTAGCAACGTTTGACTTCCAGACGACAATCTACCCACTCACGTATCACTCCAGTGAGAGTTCGACCTCCTGGCGTCCCTCGGCACTCTGATATCCACTTCTCCTTCACTTTCTACCTGCATAACCGCAGTGTTCTTATGCGCGTTGCTCACAAAACGCACAGAATGTGCAAACAGTTGTCATCTGCCAAGAAGAGGAACGTACATTGCGGACGCGTTGTGCACTCTCGCCGTCTAAAGCCTATGCGGAGATCAAGTCGTCTGCTTCTTTCGCAGGAGCTCCGGTGACGTCAGAGCGACGCCGAGCTGTGATTCGCTTCGATTGAAATGATAGGGGGTACACCTGAGTGCCAGATGCCTTGAGGTCTACCCACTATTTTTTTTTTGAATCAGCCAATAAGAGCTCGTCGTTCTGACACCATCGCAACTCCTGTGCAAGAAGCAGACGAACTTGCTATCCGCATACACCCAAACGGCTTCGAGAGACTCGGAAATGGCCGAGACAAGAGAAAGGCTTTGCACCTTATTGACGTGTTCGGGCTTGTTCCCGTGGCTCATGTGAGGCAGGCTCTGCATCAGGGCATCCAGATTGTTCTGATTGGCCAAGATGACTCGCAGACGACCTGGGACGCGGCGTCTGGGGTCAGCCGCCTGACGGCGCACGTTGTTCAGATGCCTGGACGCCGTCACGAGTGCTCCTAGCATGAGCGCGAAGGTCACCTTGAATAAAGAAAAAAAGAATACATGATGCCCTCTGGTTACAGTGTACAGTTCAGAGCGGACCTCGCAGCTGAGCACGCGCATCTTCGTTGGTCTGTAATTTTAGGAAAGGACACGAAATATTGCACGAGCTCGGATGATTAACAAAAATAGTCAGTACGCAGGCGAGCTGGTGAAAGTTTGCCGTGATGAGTTCAACCCAAGACTGGGCCAGATGGAGGAACACTGTTGGCAGTGGTAGAAAAGAAAACAGACAGACAACGTCTCTAACTCAGCTAAAGTTTTTATTTTTTCACCCTCCACATAGGCGAAGCCACAACGCCACCCATCATCAGAACATCCTGTTTTTCACGGACACGCATTAAACCCCCACCCACATCGCACACACACACACAAAAAAAATAAAAACGAGCTACAAAGCATAAACAACTTTAGATTGGACACTATCTTCTGGGTTGCTTGCTTATCTCAAAAAGTCCCAATTAAAAAAAAAAATGCCTATGTTATTGTTGTCTTTTAGATACCCACAAACGAAGTTGCAAGGTAGATCCAGCGCTTTGCACCCCGACCTCAACTAAAACAGTATGCACTAAGAAAGGAAAAACAAAATCCCACTCGCATGTGCTAAACCAAATCGCATTGATCGAAATGTGACAGAAGCAACGCTGCAATGTCGACCCGCATGGCGTCTGCCAGAATCGCTTTAGTTCTCTGGGTGGCCCATTCGACCACGTTTCTTACAGCGCATGCTCAGAGCGCACTCCTTCTTATGGTCTGTCAGTTGCGCGTACTGGATAATGCGAAATCCACGTTGCAAACACGATGTTGAAACCGGCCATCAGCACGGGCTCCGTCACAGTAGACTCTTATGCCCAGCCCTACACAACAAACGAGCAGCATCAACGACTAACTTCAAACCCGCAAAAAATGTATACGAATTTATCTTTGGGTGTTCGCAAAGATGTTAAAAGAAATTTGAGTAACGATAGAGACTTTAATACGCAGACGTTTCGGAAAAAGTATTTCCTTTTTCAGTGTGTAAAATAAGTATGAGCAGTGTTTGGTAAATTACTGAAAACAAAGATATTCGTTGCAGTTACAGGTACTTTGAAAGAAAATATCACTCTTCGGTTACTTTTTCAGAGCACAAAATATCAGGGAAAAAATTGAAAAAATAAAAGAAAAGGACATGAAATGCAAGGAAAGCACGCGTTTTAGCAAGTTTTGACTTGGCGGTTGACTCCACGTCAGAGTAGTGGCGCTAAGCAAGCCACGGGTGCGCAGTACTCTGCGCATCTGTTGTTTCAGGATGATGTGAATAAGTAGCGATTGCGCTGCAAAACGAAACTTGGCAACATTCATGTGCTTTGAGCTGTTAAGGAATAAATGCCCTTCCACAAAGTACACGCACGTGGACAACGAAAACTAGTTTTTTTTTTTTTTTTCCCCCATTTTCTTATTAAATCGACACGTGGCTATATTTGGGTTGTGTCTGGCGAGAAACAACGTATTCACAAGTTGGCTCAAGGCGAACTTGACAC